GCTGAACATGTGAAGGTTCCTGGAGGGTAGAGTGCCTGAGGAGGGCATGAAAACTATGCACCCCTTCCCCTATAACTTGCCCTATGGATCTCTTCATCTGTATCTTTTGTAATAATTCAGTAAACGTAAGTGTTTCTGTGAGTTCTGTGAGCTGCCCTAGCATATTAACTAAATCCAAGGAGGGAATCGTGGGAACTTCATTGTATAGCTGGTTGGTCAGTACCACAGGGAAAATAACTCAGAGCTTGCAGCTGGTGTTGGAAGTAGGAGATGGCCTTGTGGGACTGAGCCCTTAACCTATGGGATCTGACACTATCTCCAGGTAGACAGTATCAGAACTGAACTGGAGGATACGCAGCTGGTGTCCACTGAAAAACTGATTTCTTTCTTGTTGGTTAGAGAGATCCCCACACATTTGGTGATAGAAGTCCTCTTTGTTAGCTGGCGGCCGTGGCTCACGCCTGTAATCCCAAAATTTTGGGAGGCTAAGGTGGGTGGATCACCTGAAGTTGGGAGCTCAAGACCAGCCTGACCAACATGGAAAAAACCCCTCTCTACTAATAATACAAAATTAGTCTGGCATGGTGGCACATGCTTGTAATCTCAGGTGCTTTGGAGGCTGAGGCAGGAGAATCACTTGAACTCAGGAGGCAGGCAAAAGTTGCAGTGAGCCAAGATCGCACCATTGCACTCCAGCCTGGGCAACAGGAGCAAAACTCCGTCTCAAAAAAAGGTCTTCTGTGTTGATTGTTGTTGTTTGTGTTTTGTCCACTCACAACAGCAGTGTAGACTGTCTAGAATGGACCTCGGAACTCTTCCAGACCTTACCCCTACTCAGTTCCAAAGCTGCTTCCACAGTTTTAGGTATTTGTTATATAGCAACACCGATTTCTCAGCACTAATTTCTATACAGTGAGTGTTCTTCAGAGAATCAGACCCTTATGATATAAACACAGATACAGTATAAATATACAAAAAGAGATTTATTATGAGGGATTGGCTCTTGTAGCTATGAAAACTGAGAAGTCCCATGAGCAAAGCCCTCAGCATAGTACATGATGGGTTGGTTTTCAATCCTCACCCTCCTCCCACCCACTTTAATTCTTAAAAAAGCTGGTTTTGTGTTCCTCTTGGCAACTGTCTTGTCTGCTATGATGTGGCAAAAGTTAGGAGCAGCTGACTCAGACTCCCATGTGGAATCTATGTACTGAGGACGGTAGAGCTGTCTACCAACCTTGCCTACCTCTGCATGAGAGAAAATAAACTTCCACCTTTTGAAGTCACAGTTAAAACGTACCATGAGCTGACACTGTTCTAAGAGCTTTTATGAATTAATAAAAATAATCCTCACAATGACCCTAACTTAGGAATTAGCACTGTTATTATTACTACTATGCAAATTAAAAAAATACAGAGGTGAAATTTTCTCAAATACACCAACAAAGTAGTGAGAGAGTTGGATTCAACCCAGGCAGCCTGGTTTCAGAGCCCAAACTCTCAGTCACCTTGATACATTGTTTATTCTTTGTGCAATGTGCGGTGGTATCTGACCTTTATAGATAAAAAACAAATGCAATTGGGAGTCATTTTGCCAAATGTTGCAGTCAGATGTTAATTTGAAACCATTAGTTATAGGAGAAGCCCTAAGTACAGGGAGATATATGCCAAACATATTAAATAAATGCTAATAGGAGTTAACGAGTAAGAATGCACTTGATTCACCACAATTACTCCAGTGAGGAATGGATTGCGATTTTGTACCTGCCCATTGACTTTTTAAATGCAAATTTCATTGAAATATAAAAAGAAAGTACATGAGTATGGCAACACAATCAATTTTTCCAAAGTGTACGTGCCACAGAACAATTGTATAAATCTGCATAAATCAGGAAATCAGACTAGGAAATCAGAGCATGACCATTTCCTAGAAGGCCTTCATGCCCCATCCAGTCACTATACATTGTCTTTTATTTATTTTGTTTTATTTTCTTATTTTTTTGAGACAGAGTCTCACTCTGTCACCCACACTGGAGGGCAGTGAGTGGCATGATCTCGGCTCACTGCAACCTCCGCCTCCTGGGTTTAAGTGGTTGAACTCCTCCCTCAGTCTCCCAAATAGCTAGGATTGCAGGCACATGCCACCACACCTAATTTTTATATTTTTAGTAGAGACAGGGTGTCACCATGTTGACAAGGCTGGTCTTGAACTCCTGACCTTAGGTGATCCACCTGCCTCGGCCTCCCAAAGTTCTGGGATTACAGACATGAGCCGCTGTGCCCGGCCTACATTGCCGTTTAAAGGGGACATTTCTTATTTACCGTCAGTGATTGGAACACTAGCATGCTGTGTATTCATATAAACTCACTTTGTATATGCATACATATATACACGTATTTGCCTGTCTTTAAACAGAACAATCTTCCAAATAAACGGATGGGGGTATTGAGAAAGAACGGCTCTGGGTGAAGCCTTATCCTCCAGTGCCCGTGAGAAGAGACATCAAGCTCTGGCAACTTCTTTGCTCGATAAACCTCATTTACAAACCCTGACTCAACGAGCCAAACCTCCTCCTCTGGGAACATTCCTGCTTCAATGGTGCCATTCTCTCTTTGGCTCTCATCTTGGGTTTTCTCTCCAGGGATGCATATAGGCCTGGCCGTTTTGACTTTGCAGGCTTTCAACTGTTCTTCCTTGGGCTATAGTTTTGGGTTTGGCAGCTTTAGCTGCAGTGGCTGGGACCTTGGCTGAGTGGATTGCGGCACCAGAGGAAACAGAAAGGATAGCAGTGCTAAGTCAAGGGGATTTGGCTCTGGTTGGAAATGTGGCAGTTACTGAAGGCTGAAGATTTAGCTGAACTTGAGCCCGCAGCATCAACCAATCCCCACACTTTAGAATTCAGGGATTACGGATTTATGCAGATTTATACAATTATTTTGCTTTCCTAGGTTTCGACAGTCATTTCTTAGCTAATGACAAATTGTTGTCTTGGTCTTTCCAATACAGCAGTACCACCTGTAGTGAAATTCCAGATCGTATTTACTTGAGACTGAGCTCTGTTGACCTTGACTGTTGAGTTCACTTTTCTGGAAGGATATTCTGAACGTGCTCCCTTCTTTATTTTTGCTCTACTTGTTAAATAAGCATAATGATGTCACCAAAGTCAACAAGATGATCACATATTTTCATCTATTTTAGTGGCTTCATTTAGTAGATTTTGTTTTCGAGTTGTGTTCAGTTTTGATGAATAGAGTCTGAAATATGTGATGAGGGGTCTTGGACTAAAATTTTGGAGGAGTGTTTTTAATTGCAACCACGGTCACTCATCCAGGCTCTCAATGACATTTCAAATATTTCAGTGAGTGTATGTCCATTTTGGGCTCCTGCCATGGTCTGATTAGGCACAGGGTGGAGTCTCACAATATCTGATCCTGCCCCTAACTGTCACGGTAAGAAATGGAAATGACCGTGACTTCTGCTGGAGGCCCAAGAAAGACAAATGGAACCTTGTCTTGTCTTTTCATGTGGGCCAGAGTGTTAGTCAGACTTAAGGTTGCCTTTTTTTTTTTTTTTTTTAAGATGTGGAGGTTGACGCTCCCAAGGAAAGGTATCTAAAATCAATTGTTGTTTTTGAAACAACAAACTTAGCTGGCTTACATTTTAAGGCCTACTGGAGATTTTGATGTAGAAGGTTTCTATTCTGTTCCTGTCAAAATCTTAGCTACAAATTTCATGGTCAATGGCTCAGAGTGTAAGAGGTCAGCTAACTACCTGTATTCCTTTAGGTCTGGGGTCACCAAACCCTTTGACAGTCTCTGTGACACTGGGGACTTTAAGTCTGTTCACTTCACATAGAAAGGGTTTTGGAACCAACATGGTATTCAGTGTTTATTACTACTGCTAATTTCTTATTGGTATGATTAGGTCTGCAATCTCTCATCTTTTGTTTTACCACTGAATTGAATACAGTTAATTTATTTAAAGTCAAACCTCTTCTGAATTCTTTTCATATTCCGCTTTTTTGGCCAGACCACAACGGATAAATCATAAAATGCTTTCTGATTGGATTCCAAATCTGATTGGAAAAGAGGCACATCTTTTCAGACTTTGCCTCTGTGATTCCAAAACTTAAGTCCAGTTACAAGGAGCCTGCCTGGAAGCTCAGCGCTATGCTTCAGTGTTATCCATTCAACTGGTTTCGAGATGTGCCATAACCTTCTACAGCATGTGGCTCTTGCTTTCAAACTGTATTTTAGGAGCCTTATTATACATGTATACATTTTTTGAAATTAATTGAATAACTCATACCTTTTGAGAAGTAGGCATGGTTGTATATATTATTTGTGTATATATAAATCTATACATGCATGTATATATTTATTATTTTCTACAATAAATCATTTAATTAAAATGCATTGCTTTCTCTTCTTGAATGCAGTATTTTCATTTGTTTTGTTACACACACACACACACACACACACACACACACGTGCATATATATATATGAGAAAACAACAAAGGGATTTAAATCAAGAGAAGTTAAGTTGTTGGCCAGGGGTTACCAACTGGAAGAGAGCCCAATGTAGCTAATACACATGCTTTTTGACTTGCAAATTTGTTTAAAAGTTTTATTTTGGAGGTCTTTAGAAAGGATATGTATTCTGTTTGCCACAATCCCCAGTCTTGATTGTCTTTTAACTACAGTGATTCACATATTTATATTCTTGCATAACTCTTATAGGTGCGCGAGCCTACCATTAATGTTTTAGACTTTTTAATGCAATAAGCAATTGTTTTTGTTTTGAAAATACTGAAGCCAGTATTTCAAGATATAGTGTATTTTATTTTACTATCATCTCTATTCTGTTGTGGTCCATTTAGCTCCAGGTGAAAATACAAACCAACTGCTCTCATTTTTTATTTTATTTTATTTATTTATTTATTTTTTACATTTTGGCCAAACAAAAACATTTGATTCATTCTGACTCAAAAAGTTAGAGCATGGTGTTTATGGTTTTGAAAATTCACTGAAACTTTTTCACTGAACTGGTTTCTTTCTGATGCATTTTGTTGAGTTCTACCCATGACTGCCAAAGTAGCAGTCCTGGGATCAGAACCCACACACCATTAAAAAAAGACAGGTAAACCCAACAGTAGAGCCAGTTGCTGGTGTTGAGGTTGGGGCTCCCGGTGAGCCACTCTGGGAGGAAGGTCATCCAGCAGCTGTACAGCTCACACACACACAGGGTGATCTGCAGGAAATGCCGGTAATGTTTTTCTTTGACTATGGCATAAACGAGGAACAACGCCAGAGACCCATCCAGGGCGACAGTCAGAATTTCCACAGACACAATGGTTGGATCGAAATAAAGCCATCTCGCATCAGCTTTGCCATATTCTTTCCCTGTCGCCCATGCTTCCCACTCCCATGAGCCACCATGCCCAGCAGACTTTATATTTTTAGTACATTGAATACAGAGTAGAATTAGTATGATAGAAAGAAGTCGATAAAATGAAAAATAATTTTTTTTAACCTCCTCATTTGGGATTTTTGAAGCTTTCTTTTCATTTTATCGACTTATTTCTATCATACTAATTCTACTCTGTATTCAATGTACTAAAAATATAAAGTCTGCTGGGCATGGTGGCTCATGCCTGTAATCCTAGCACTTTGGGAGGTTGAGGCGGGCAGATCATGAGGTCAAGAGATTAAGGCCAATTTGACCAAAATGGTGAAACCCTGTCTCTACTAAAAATAAAAATTAGCTGGGCGTGGTGGTGGGTGCCTGTAGTCCCAGCTACTTGGGAGGCTGACTCAGGAGAATTGCTTGAACCTGGGAGGCAGAGGTTGCAGTGAGCCGAGATTGTGCCACGAAACTCTAGCCTGGTGACAGAGTGAGACTTCATCTCCAAAAAAACCAAAAAACCCCATATATATATATGTATACATATATATATATATATATATATATATATATATATATATATATATTCTATGACTCTTTTAATATTTTGTTATATTATTTGAAACATTTTGACTACAACTTGCATCTCAGAAAATTTCCCTATTTATCTCATCTTGTCTTTTTTTTATCTTATCTTTATCTTTTATTTCCTAGAGTTTTTGTTTAATTGTATTTTATGGAGGTTACGACATATGCATTTAACATTTTCTTTTATCTGTAATAAATTATTGAAAAACGCTTTGCTTTTTCCCCTTAATTGCAATATTTTCTTTTCATTTCTTATAGAATCCTTTCATAGTCAGTGAAAATCATTTTATTTTGTGGTAAGGTTTTAGTAAAGTTTCAAAACCAGCTTTATTTCATTCATCTATTTATAGTAAATTGGAAGTGAACTCTTCTCCCTTAGTGCAGTCAATAGCTACTATATATAACTCTGCATAATACAAAAAGAACAAAAATCTCTATATGTTGAATAAGGATTTATTTGGTTTCTTTCTAAATTTATTATGTGTCTATTCCCTCTTTGCTGCTTTTTTGTGTTTAGTGGATGTTTCTTCTGCCCAAATAAACATGGTCACTTGGACAATGCCAGCATGAATTTGCATACAACGTGAAGTGTTTCTGTCATTTGGGCAAAACTTGTGTGTGTTTTGGAAGCAAATAATCCATCATATGTCTTTCCCTCATGCATTAGTTACAGCCAGTTTCAAAAAATAAACATAGGTTTTCAGCAGATGTCTACTGAAACTATCTCAGCTTTGTCACCTAGAAATGAATAAGAAAATACAGCCTTTTCATAGCTAGACTCTAACACCCCTCTCCACTCACCCCTAAATAATGCTTAGGACACAGTCATAGGTAAGTGCCAGACAACTATAAGTCACCACATCACAGCAGACAGAAAACCACAGGCAAAGGGAATGAATGTATGTATTCTCAGAGGGAACCCAGAGGGATTTGAACCTAACCTGCCTATTTTTTTCTCCCACTCTCATCAAATCAGATAATAAAAAGGAATGAATGCAGAGTGTTACCCTAAACCTACACTCTCTACCCCAGAAGTGAAAGTTTTGTCTTTAATGACACAGGAGGATTAGGGGAAAATTGTTCTCTCTCATAGCACAATGGATAATATAAAAAAAAAAAAAATTCTAAAATTCCTTTGGAAGACAAAGGGCTTCAAATAGTTAAAGCAATGCAGAACAAAAAGAACAGAGCTAGAGAGAATATCACACTAACAGGTTTCAGATTACACTGCAAAACTATAGTCACCAAAACAGCATGATACTGGCATAAAAATGACTAATTTACTTTTATTTTTCAATAGGGATGTTTCCTAACACTTCACAAATTGGAAGGGTGTTTTTTCTGTATTTCCTGAAAGGACATTTAACATTTTTCATATTTCAAGTTTGTGAGAAGACATTTTTCTAACTCAATTTATTTTTCTTCTGATTCTAAAGCCAATATCACCCTTAAGTTGTAGAGCTATGCTAGTAAAAAACACATGCATGGTTCACATAAGATTGTTGGCACATTTCAGCTGCATATAGTGCACTTGTTTTACATTGAGCTATAAAAGAAAAAAGTTATAGAATCATAAAATCTGAGTTATGAGGGACCTTGTATATGATGTAGTGTAACTTTTTACTTACTCTGTTTAATATTAAAATCTCTCTAACGACATTCAATAGTTGTCCATCCTCCTCTTTTAATAGTATGCACTATTCTCAGAAAAGGAATGATATATAGTCTCCTGTAGCTGCCAGGAATTATTTCTAATTCTAGTGGCTGTAATTTTAATAGCTATTCAAATATTTGGAAGTAATTGTTATTTCTTCTGTGTCTTTAAAAGCTAAGCTCAAACGCCCAAGTTTCTTTAACCTTTCTGTACATACACGTGTTTTCAAGCACTCTGTCCTTCTACATCACATCAACGTTTATTAATTTACCTCTTAAAGTGCAATGCCAAGATCTCACCATAGTGCTACATCTATTGTCTAGCAAGAGCCTAGTATAATTGTCTCCAATGTGAATCTATTAATAAAAACTAAGAGACAGAAATAACAAAATCCTTAAAGACCATTTCTACTCTTACTCTCCTCACACTACAAAAACGATTAAAGCTTACCTAACTTAATAAAAATTTCACTGATTTTGCTATTTTTTCTAGTTTTTATATATATTGTTATTAAAAATTTACTCATTGATTCAACTTTCAACTCTTAGAAAAGTAATTTAAAACGTTTAAAAGTATTATTTTATGATTTTAAATGTTTAAATTTCTTAACTTTGGATAATATATATCTGATTTAAATGATGAAAAATTTTCAGGGAGTAACAACACACTTAAATTACATCGTATCTCATTTTTAAAATGATATCTCTTTGATGTGAGATTTCAAGATACATTTTTTTTTAATCCCTGGGGTTAAACATATAATGCAAATGGAATTTTATTCACTGGGTTTTAGAATTTGCTCTTAGTTGTTAGAGTATTTGTGTTAATTATGGGTGGTTGACAAGAACAAATTGCATTTTAATGCTTATGACACAAATTTCATCCTTGTCATCTACAACCTCCAAACAGTCCTTTAGAAATAATAATATTTCTATGTCAGAGGCGTACAAACTGGTTCCAAGTGTCCAAGTTAGGAAGACTTTGACCCTGGGCAGTTCAGTCCAGATAATGTACCTTTCCTTCAACCCTGTGACCGGTTGGGAACATGGAGTGGAATTCATCTAACAGTTAGTAATGTCTTCAATGCAGTGTCCATGTTGTTAGCTGCTGCTCATGTTAGCTTGGTCCTTGCTGGGCTACAATAGGTTTTGACGACCTTGGGTCACGGATCACAGACATGGTGCTTCTTAGGCTAGTGTGTTTGGTAATGTGTTTCCTGCAATAGCATTTTTGAATTGGCTAAGTTTCCAAGATCAGTTTTGAGTTAATGGATGCTGTCAGGACATTAGCTGCATGCATAGTTCTTAAGAATCCAGCTTGTCTTTATCCAGATATTCTCTCTTTAAATATTAAATGCTCAAGGACAAGCTTTCTTAAATTCTAAAAGGTGCCTTTTTGTTTATTTTTCTCTCTTTGCTCTGTTTAAGGGAGGTAAAGATTTTCTGTTTTTGTTTTCTAATAAATGGTCACAGATGGTAAAGTCACTGTGTCAGTCACATCCTTTCACTTATTTAAATGGTTTCAAGTGGTGTACCTTGGGCCTGACAGTTGCAGGCAGCTCAAGGAATCATTTTCATGTTTATCTTTTTCAAAGCATTTACTCTCAGATGACAATAATGAGCAGTATGTTGAAAGCATATACTTTATGTAGATGATCAAGTCTTTGCTAAGATGTGATGGTGCATATTAATTCTCCACTCCATTTGGTGAGATCTTGGATTTGTCTTATATCACGCTTCTGTTTAATCTTCAAAGTGTAGTAGCAAGTATGCTATTTTAAATGTCACCATTCTTCATCAGCCAAGTTTTTGACCCAGCTAATTCAGTTACTTCGGAAGTGGATAATGGGGGAGAGGATGGAGTACACAGATTTATCTTCCAAAAATTTATGTTCAGTGTTGAATTTACTGTAGGTGAAATAGTACCTAGGATGTGGTTACGGCACTCTTAAAGATCCCTGGAAATGAAATCTCCACCCAAATGATTCCCTTCTGTCACTGAAATGTCACCAATTAAAGATCAGTGGTCATATAAGTTAATTTCACATAATTGGTGTTTTCAGCTTCTTCCACCCACTCCCCAACCCCTACATCCTGCTGTCTATACCTAACTGGGATTGTTTGGCTCTAAGAGAATGGCATTTTTGTGAGAAAAGAGGAGAAGCAATTTTAGAGTCTAATGATAAGTTTTAAAAAGAGTTTTTTTTTGTGGGAGACTCAGAGGGCCTTGAAATATTCTTGGCAGATAAAACACAAATTTGTTAATATAGTAATGGAAATAACTCACTGACTTAAAAGTCTGCTAATCTCAATTATAATTCTGAATAGAGACAGAGAAACTTAATTTATTCATTTTTTTATTCGTTCCTCAGCCAGTCAAAAAGTAATACCCTTTGTTAGCCCACGGCAGTAGAAATAGACTTTGTCCAGGCTCAATTCTGCAAAGGGATCTTGCTTCTCAGTATCTGGAATATTATATAGAACATTGTCTGCAAGTGTTAATTTGCTCCTGCAGTTAAGGTACTGTGTTTCTTCAACAATACCTGATGAGTTTCCTTTTATAAAGAAATATTGCAAAGATAATGAAATTAATACTAGAGAATAAGTGAATCAAAACTTTACATAAAATTTCCTCATATTTAGCTTTTGTAGAGTCTGCATGTGTACCAGGACCCCAAACTAATATTCAAATATAAATGTAGTATGATTCTGGAATTAATTGTGACACATTGTAAACTGACTGCCTTTAGCCAGTTCTGTTCTTAACATGTGCTACCCTTAAAGCTAGTCTTGCAAATTGCCACATCTTAAAAGGTGTCACAAATTTCAACATCCAGGCATTTGATAGATTAAGGAGATTACATGCATACCTTGCAACTAAAGTTTCTAAAATTCTTCTTTTCATCTCTCTTTCCCTCTCCAAAGTTCCACTCCCCATGGAATTGTCACTCGGTTTCTTCTCATGGCCTGTGTTTTTATCTCTTCATTTCTTGCTCTACATCTTCCTCCTCCCAGCTCCCTTATTCAGTCATTATTTCTCTAGTCTTCCTCTTTCCTCTCTGATTTTTTTTTCTCCCACAACATGTCTTGTTATCCCTGTTATTAGGAAAGTTAATTTATAATTTTCTCAATTTCCCGAAGTTTCGTCCATATGTCTCACTCAACCCATTCAAGAAGTAATCATTCAGAAGCGTCCAGTTCAGTTAGGGGGGTGAGTGCATGGGCTGTTTTCTTCCTATTGAATGTTGCTCCTTTGCTGGAACTTGGCAAACTTACAGCTAGGTAGGTCTAAGGAAAATGTCTGTAATCATTGTAAAAGGCTCATGGTCTCATTCGGGTAAAGAAAAAGCATAAAGGGTACATTTTCTCTAACAAGGGTTCTAATCTGCTCTAACAAGGGCTGGTGGAATTCAGAGGTAGGAAAAATCACTTCTGATGTTTGGTCAAGTTACTTTCTCAGAAGAGGTGGCATGTGACTGAATCACGACTGAAACGAGGCTCTGTCAAAGGCAGAGGGCTTTCAGAGAAAGGGCCATTCCAATAAGCAGTGGAAATAAAAAGTAAAAAATTGGGGCCAGGTGCTGTATCTCATGCCTGTAATCCCAGCACTTTAGGAGGCTGAGGCGGGCAGAGGTCAAGAAATCGAGACCATTCTGGCCAACATGATGAAACCTTGCCTCTTCTAAAAATGCAAAAATTAGCTGGATGTGGTGGCGTGCACCTGTAGTCCCAGCTACTTAGGAGGCCAAGGCAGGAGAATCACATGAACCTGGGAGGCGGAGGTTGCAGTGAGCTAAGATCATGCCACTGCACTCCAGCCTGGTGACAGATGAAGACTGTCTAAAAAAAAAAAAATCACATATGGGAAATGGTGATCACTGAAGTTCCCCGTTGCACAGAAAGGAAGAGGAATGGGTAGTGAATGACGTGCTTGGAAAGTTTGGCTGGGGACAGATTTTGGAGGGCTTTATCTTTGATTGAAATGTTTGAAATTCAGTAGCAATCGAAAATGGATGAGAGCTGTTGAACGGGCCAACAGCATTATGACACAGGGTTTTACAAAGACACATTTGAACAATTGCAAAATGGGTAGGAAGAGAAGAGTCTGAAATCAGAGAGATATTAGAAGCCATTGTGATATTTCAGGAAAGATATAAGATTATAAGTTATTTCCAATCTTGGCATGTGATATTTCTTTACCAAAAGTACAGAGGAAAATTTTCCTTTTCTCTCTTTTTTTCTTGTAAATTGATTTAGAGTTTACAAAATTTGGCTTCCTGTTTGAACAGATGTGATGGTTCATTTGTTAATAACTTCTTGAAATTCGAGCATTTATGTGGAAAGATGTTTTACAAGTTTTATATTTCTTTGAAAGGAAATAAAAGGATAAGATTGCAGTGTTTCTTAGAATAGTATTTTGAAAATGAATGAATGACTTGCAGAATACATGTAAAAATATAAAAAGCATAACATTATCTTGTCAATTGCTTTTTTTCTATTATGAAACAAGATGCAGAAGAGAGTTTCTGAGGATATTGGAAAAGGAAATAAATCTTTCTCCTTTATTAAAAAGTTGTAACACACCATGTCACGCTATTATGCCTGAGTTCCTGTGAAACTTTTCACTAAGGTTAGTGAAGATCTTAATGTGCAGGAGGTTTGTATGGTTCAGGGGCTGTGGCAAAGCTGCAGAACTGTTTTTTAGATTAACTTCTATTCATATTTGTGAAATAAACCATTGTAAAATAAACTCTGTTGAGTTTTCTGAAAACTTCTATAGTTCATTGAGTCACTGTTAGTAATGAATATATTTTAAGGAAACATAACCTTCCATTTAATTGTTAATGATTAACTTGTATTTCTTGTACTCCATATGAGACAGCCCACAGAACAGCCCCTTGTTCTTCGACACCCTGGTGTAAATGTCCTCTCTTTTGGCATAGAACTGCTATTTGGTCTATTTAAAAATCATTAACAAATTACAGAGTCCTTTTGGTGTCTATATGCTAAATTCCCTTCCGAAATAGTTTGTCTTTTTCTTCTCCTAAGTTATAAACATAAGTGTCCATCTTTCTACTTATTCATTTTAGAGACACAGTCTCTTTCTGTTGCTCAGGCTGGCATGCAGTGGTGCGGTCATAGCTTGTTGTAACCTCGAACTGCTGGCCTCAAGCAATCTTTCTGCCTCAGCCTCCCAAAGTGCCGGGATCTTAGGCATGAGCCACCAGGCCTGGCCTCTATTTAATTTTGTGTAGTACACGCTCTTCATTAATATTTGTCATGGTCTAAATGTTTTCATAGAAGTTACGTATATAGTTTGGGACATGATACAAGGACTTATTTTATTTGGACTCAAATCCTGTGTACAGCATAAAAATGTGGAATTATGTAATTTTCATTTATTAAGATTGGTGCAAAAGTTATTGCGGTTTTTGCCATTACTTTCAATAACAAAAACTGCAATTACTCTTGCACCAACCCAATACTATTTTATAGACGATGAGAAGCTACTAAATATTTGCGTGCAGTATTGAGACTTCACACACATGTTTACTAGTGAAAAGAAAAGAGAAGAGATGGGCTCTCAGAAGTTAATGATTCCTGAAATAATAAATACAGTGATAGGTAGTGGTATTATTCTTACTAAATTTTATAAAAACTTTCAAACACAAAACCAGAGAGACTGATAAAAACACCCTTGTGCAGACAGCAACTTTAATAATGATTGACATTTGCCTATATTGTTTTGCCTATCTTCCTTTACTTTTTTCTTTGCTTATGTATTTTAAAACAAATCTCAAATATCATTTGATCTTGACTCTCAGATGATCCCAAATCTCTCTCCAGCATGGTTCCAGCTGTCAGCATCTGTAATCTCTATGCCTGAGTGCTTTTCCCTGGATCTGTAGAGAGCTCTGGAGCTCTTGTGTGGCGCAGGCTGGAAGTGCCAAGGAATTAACATGCAGGGGCACAGTCCACAATGAGTGCTACTAGGGGGCTGGCATGTAAAAATCCCAGCCGCCTCAGATTGTCTAGAGTTAATTCTTCCCAAATGAACTGCTTGCACACAAACTTGATTTTGTTTACTGATTCCCGGATAAAACTGACTTTGACATTTAAACCAGGAATAGTCCAAGAAAGTCAATTCTTGAAAGAGGGATTCTCCATCACTAACCAGTCAGACGGCTGAAGGGCTCTGTTGCTGATGGGGAGTGTTGTGGTGATAACTCATTCTAGGTTTAGATCATTGCTTCTTCATGTTTCATTTACTTGTCCTTATACATCCCGTCTTAATCTAAAATGGTAGTGAGAGCTGAAACAGTGATTCAAAAACGGGATGATTTTGACCACCACGGGACATTAGATTATGTCTGAAGACAGTTTGGACTGTCACATTTTGTTGGGGAGTGTGCTGTTGGCATCTAATGGTAGAGGCTGAAGATTCTACTAAATAAATACCCTACACTGCAAAGAATGGCCCTCACACAAAGAATAATGTAGCTCAAAAATTTTAACAGTACCAAGGTTGAGAAACTCTGATCTAGAGGTTTGATTAAATTCAGGCTTTTTCTTTCTTCCCTTCCCCATTCTTTTCCTTTCTCTCCTCCCCTCCTGCTCTTTCCCTTCTCATTCATTTGTCCTTCCTTTCTTTCTTCCTTTTTCAAAAAGGTATCTCATAGGTAATTCTGTATACTTCCATTGCATCACAGCAGACATCAGGAGGCACAGGTTGACTTTCTTGTAGTGTTGCTGGGATCAGTTAGTAAGTCTGAGTTCCATATGTTTAATCTACCTGTTAGAGTGGCCACCAAGTCTCAAATCACAGGCAAATGCATCATGAATGTTTTAGTGATGTCACATGGCAAATACCAGGTAAAATAGTACCTATGCTTCCAGACCTTTTGGCCACCCCGTACAGTTCACATTAGTTTTTTACCTAACAGTTTTAGGATCCACTGATGATCATTGCCAGGGCCCATGATTTCATTAAGTGTTGTGGAAGGGAATTTTCTATTTCTTGCCATTCCTTTATAAGGTGAAGTTGTTTTATAAAGATTAACTTTTTCTCATCAATTATTCATTTTATTCTTAGATAAAGTTTATATAGAATAGGGAAGATAAGTGCATATTTTATAACTTTACTTACCAATACTGCCCCCCCCCCAAATTTTGGTGCCATAGCAACCTCCAATGTTGCCAGTTCATTTATTTGTATATTATTAACAATTCATGGAATTTAAAAAATCTTTTTCTCAACCAATTATAGTAATTTTTATGTTTGTGTTTATGTTATGTCACCTTTGGCCAGTAGGAATACTGCCAGGTTGCCTTCTGTCCTTTTGCTGTGACTCCAGGAGTCTTTGACAGCTCCCAGCACAGGTGGTTCAAGCTCATTTTATGCATGTCTTCCTTCAGACCTGGAAGTAGTCATTTTCCCAAGGAGCTCTTTCCTATTGCTACAAAGTAACATTAAGAGCACACAGTCTTGATGCTATGAGTCCACATTGCTACTGAGTTGTCATTTCAATTTTAATCAACAGAGCTAGGGGATCTGCTTTTTTTTGAGAGAGAAACATAAATAGTGAATCTTTCTGATATTTCAAATTCACATTTTCTTCTTTGATTTTTAAACTTTTTTCCTCTTATGCTGAAAATCTTAGTTTTTTTTAAATTGTATCTTATCATTACCCATGACAGTTTCAAAATAATAAAACAAATGTCATTGTGAACAATAAGATTACTGAATACAATTGAAGGCTTTTTAGTATTTCTTGTCATCTGAGGATATTTTACCTCTAGGGATGTACAACCAAAATTCTGTGTTTCAGACTCATTTGAAATAATTCTCTGAGTTGTGCTACTGATTTGACATTTACTTAGATTCATTCATTTCACATTGTTTTCTGTTTTCAGATTGCCTTTTTCCTTTTATTTAGTTTTTAAAATTTATTAAAATATTTGTTATCCCAATGTCAAAACAGTAAAATAAGGTATGTTCCCTCCATGCTTCTCTCTTACCCCCACTGGTGACTATTTCAATGAGTTTTTGAATTAACTTTTCACTGTTTAAGAGTCAAGCAAATATGGATACATATTTGTATATTTTTTTTTGAAAGGAGAGAAGGAAAGAAAAAAGTGAAGGAGAGGAAGAAAGGAAGAAAAAGAGGGAGAGAGAATGGCAATGTTGCTTTATTCTAAAAATGGGTATTAATAATGGTCAATCAATATTTCATTTAAACCTATGAGTAGGTGTGATGTGATACTACAAGAATGTATATTTCATGTATTTAAAGTGGAGAGCTCTATAAATATTTATTAAGTTTACTTGTTCTGGATCTGAGTTCAAGTCCTGGATATCCTTATTAATTTTCTGTCTTGTTGAGTCTAAATCTTTTTATAGGTCTTATGTATCTGGGTGTTAGGATCGTTAGCTCTTATTGTTGCATTGATTCTTTTACCACTATATCTTTGTTGCTTTGAAATCTATTCTATCAGATGTGAGAACTGCAACTCCTGCTTTTTATTTATTTATTTATTTTTGCTCTCCATTTAGTTGGTTAATCTTTCTCCATCCCTTTGAGTCTTTGTGTATCCTTGCATGTGAAATGGGTCTGGATGTAGCATACTGTTGGGTTTTGACTGTATCTTTTGATTGGGGGATTTAGTCAATTTAAATTTAGGATTACTGCCATTTGATGTTAACTGGCGTTGTATCCATTCGTTGATGTAAATTCTTTATGTTGATGCTCTTTACTTTTTGGTATATTTTTAGAAAGGCTAATACTGGTTGTTCCTTTCTATGTGTAATGCTTCTTTCAGAAGCTCTTGTAAAGCAGGCCTGGTGGTAATAAAATCTCTAAGTACTTGCTCGTTCATAAAAGATTTTATTTTTCCTTCAATTATGAAGCTTAGTTTGGCTGGATATGAAATTCTGGGCTGAAAGTTCTGTTCTTTAAGGATGTTGAATATCGGCCCCCACTCTCTTCTGGCTTGTAGAGTTTCTGCTGAGAGATCTGCTGTAAGTCTGATAGGCTTCCCTTTGTGGGTAACCTGACCTTTCTCTCTGGCTGCCCTTAGTACTTTCTCCTTCGTTTCAACCCTGGTGAATCTAACGATTATATGCCTTGGTGTTGCTCTTCTTGAGGAATATCTTTGTGGCTCTTGTTGAGGAATATCTTTGTGGTGTTCTCTGTATTACCTGGGATTGACTATTGTCCTGCTTTGCTAGGTTGGGAAAGTTTTCCTGAATAATATCCTGAAGACTACTTTCCAGCTTGGATTCATTCTCTCCATTGCATTCAGGTACACCTATCAAATGTAAATTAGGTCTTTTCACATAGTCCCATATTTCTTGGAGATTTTGCTCATTCCTTTTTATCCTTTTTTCTCTATTCTTGTCTTCTTGTTTTATTTCATTAAGTTGGACTTCGACCTCTGATGTCCTTTCTTCTGCTTGATCAATTCGAGTGTTAAAACCTGTGCATACTTCTTGGAGTTCCCATATTGTATTCTTCAGTTCCATTAATTTACTTATATTCCTCTCTAAATGGTCTATTCTCATTAGGATTTCATCAAACCTTTTTTCAAAGTTCTTAGTTTCTTTACATTGGGCTACAACATGTTCTTTTAACTCACAGAAGTTTCTTATTATCCACCTTCTGAAGCCTGATTCTGTTAATGGAATGCGCTCGTTCTCCATCAAGCCTTGTTCCTTTGTTGATTAGGAACTGTGATCCTCTGTAGAGGGAGAGGCATTCTGACTTTGTGTATTCTCAGCCTTTTTACGCTGGTTTCTTCCCATTGTTGTAAGTTTATCAACCTGTCATCTTTGTAATTACCAACTTTCAAATTAGGTCTCTGCATGGATGTCCAACTTGTTAATTCCTAGGGCTGAAATCTGAGCAACCCACTGCGCCAGCCAAAACAGCGGTGTTAAGACTGATGGTGCTTTTCTGCCTGGGAATCTCCGGTCTGGCTTCCTTCTTGAGTCTGTAACAGGCGACTCTGTCTTCCCGGAGCTCCAAACGTCGGTCAGAAGGGGAACCAGTTCCGTTTACTCTGCACCAAGAGCTGCCATGCCGAGGTGCTGGCAAAACCACTGCACCAGCCACAAGAGTCGCGCTGGCGACCCGTGGGGCTCCTCCACTGGGAATCTTCTTGTCCGTGAGTGACAAAAATTCATCTGAAAATGTGGTGTCCTCTCGTTCTCTGCGCTTTCACTGGGAGCTACAATCCTGAGATGTTAGTGATCAGCCATCTTGGATCGTTCTCCTATTCTTTTTTTTTTTTTTTCCTCAGAATGTAGCATAATGCAAATACTCCACACTGTGATTTTTTTTGATGAGTAATTCTGAATTTAACCCCCTATGCTGGGATCTTGGGAGTTTCCCCTATTTTGCTTAGAGTTGCTTACTCCCACAGTCTCTGGATATACCATAGTTTATTCAACCAGTATCCTGGTGATGGACATAGGACTTGTTTCTAGATTCTTACTTTCACAAAATATGATGCAATGAATAGCTTTGTGCATATGTCATTTTAAACTTTTGCCATTGCATCTTTGGGATAGATATTCAGAAGGCAATCTCTGAGTCAAAAAGTAACTGAATATACAGTTTTGACTGAATAATTAAATACACATAATGATTATTTTTCTCTTGAATTGTAAAACTAGAACTTAAAAAAATCTTTTCATAATTCTGTAGTTAAGTTCTTCATTTGTTCACTGTTAGTTTTGAAGTTTGCTCCAATTTTTTCTGACTCTTAAACTTTAATTTTATAGAGAGCATCTAGCCCAGTGTAGAAAAAGTTCTGATTTCTCTCTATAGCTGTTGCGCACGGACAAGAGTGTTCTATAAATTTATATATGAAAGAATGCACAGAATTGTAAGACAAATCACTGTCGGGTGACCCATGGCCTGTGTTTTATGATGTTTAGGCACTCTGATAACCTGGGCTTTTTAAAATAATTTTTTTTCAGTTTTTTTTTTTTCTGCTTGGAAAACTGGGAAAACATATTCTTGGACTAGACTGAGCCAAAGGACATCTCTCAGTTCCTGCCTAAAGCCCACGCCATGTTTCTCACTGATAAAACCAAGGAGTGAAGCAATTTAGAAAGAAAGTATAGCAATAGGCATCATCAGAGTAATTATGACGGGTGCATAGGGACTCAGAAACATAGGTGAGTTAAATTAAAGGTATTTAATAATAACTTATCAATTGCTTTTTGAGAGTTACCATTTCCTGGTACCTCTCTGTTGGTCTCAGTCTGTATTTGCCCTGTGAAGATATTGAGATAGAGAGCATGGGTAGCTCAAAGTTAGAAGACTCATACATGTGACTCATTGACTGCAGGCTGCCCAGGACCCTGGCTGCTCTGTGGGGTGCGGTGATGCTCATTGTAGGCAAGAGGGCAGCAGAGAGTTCAGCTTAGACTGCAGGACCAGGCTCCTCAGAGTCCAGGGTTCGCATTGCAGGTCCGGCTGCTATAAAAAGGATACCATATTGATTTTATCTGAACCACTTTTCTGATTTTGTTAATTAGCCAATTAGCACCAATTTATTAATGTATTAAAAATGCTTATTGAATTCGGCTGTGTGCCAGGCTCTGTGACACCAGCATCTCCAAATCTAAATGTTTTCTCATTTTCTTCCTTTTTCTCCCTTCATTCCTTGGTCCATTATTCCTCTGATCACTTCTATTGGATCCCTCCTACTTGTCTTCCAGAATCAGCTCACCTGGGTCCTACTTTAGGAAGAATTCCAGGATGTCCACAATCTTGTTTAGTGCCTTTCTCTCTCTGTCTGCAGCTTTCTCTCTCTCTAATTCTCTCTCTCTCTCTCTCTCTCTCTCTCTTGGAAATCTCCTGGGGATTTCCTGAGGTCTGTTCTCAGCCCTCTTCTGTTTTCTTGTGTACATCATTCATTCACATGGCTTAACATTTCACCTCAATGAGGATGATGCTTCAATATACTTTTTATACTGTCTTATAACCTATCCTTACAGTATGAACTTATGGCAACACCATTAAACATTCCTTATAAATGTAATTTGTAGTGGCCGTATAGTATTTACAAGAACCATTGTAAAAAGTCTCCACTAGACTTTAGTTACTGAAAAAAATGTCTGTAAATGGATTTTTTTGTTTGTTTATTTTGGAGACAGCATGAAATCATCACAATTACCCTGGAAAGAAGATTGTATCAAAATGACAGACCAAACACAGGAGCCTGCCTTCTACTCTCTCCCCACAGACCTAGAAATGATAGAAAGATAATTTCTTTAAAAATAATAAACTGTAAGAATCCTGGAAAAAAAGATTGCCATCAGAAGACAACGGAAATATGAAATCCTGTAAGGACAGAAAGCACACAGGATTGGGCACATGCAGGTTTGCTGGGGCAGGTGCAGGAGATTTTGATAGTCTGGTGAGGACAGCTTCTCAGGAGGGGCTGAGTGAACTGGCCTGTACCCCTTCTTCCCTGTGCTTGGCAGTGTGAAGATGAGAAATTCACCTCAAGGTTGAAGCAGACATTGTAGGGAGTCAAGAGCTACTTCCTTTGGTAGCTGGTGACCATAGAAATAAAATGTGAATGGATTTGAGACAAATTTTGGAGCCGACTGTTTCAGTGGTGGGTTGGGTCTGCCACCGTATGCACACGTGCATGTTGTATTTCTTTTCTATTTCTGTGTAACAATATTACCACAAACCTAGTAGTTTAAAACAGCACCCACTTATTATTTTAGTTTTATTGGGGGGGTCAAGATTCTGGGTGCAGCTTTCCTAGGTTCTCTGCTTCATGGTTTTCTTTGCAAGTCTCAACCAGAGTGTGTGCTGGGGTTGCAGTCTCACTTCAAGGCTTGAGTGGGGCCTCAGTCTATATTTGCCCTGTGAAGATATTGAGTTAGAGATTCACTTCCATGTTTATATTGTTGGTGGAATAGCCTGTTAGGTTAAGAGCCTCAAGGTGTTTTTTCTTTTTCTTTGCTTTTCTTTTATTTTTAGACAATCTTGCTCTGTCGCCAGGCTGGAGGGCAGTGGCGCGATCTTGGCTCATTGCAACTTCTACCTCCCCATTCAAGAGATTTCCCTGCCTCAGCCTCTTGAGTAGCTGAGACTACAGATGCATGCCACCATGCCCAGCTCATTTTTGTATTTTTGATAGAGATGGGGTTTCACCATGTTGGCCAGGGTGGTCTCGATCTCTTGACCTTGTGATGTGCCTGCCTTGGCCTCCCAAAGTGCTGGGAGTACAGGTGTGCGCTGCCTGGTTTTTTTTTTTGGCTGTTGGCTGGCTGCTTTCTCCATTTACTGGTCACAAGATCTCCGCATCATGGCTACTTTATCAACATGAGCAAGAGCGACAGTCTTTCAGCCAGCCAGACACTACAGTCTCTAAATGTCATCACAGATGTGACATCTTGCCACCGTCACCGTACTCTGTTTAGTAGAAGCGAGCCACTGGCTCCACACATGTTCACAGGAAGGCATTTCTCGAGGGTGTGGACACTATGTTGCAGGGATCATGGGGTTGCCTTTGAGTCTGCCAACCACAGGGTATCAGTGCAGGCAACGAATATGTTTTGTTGTTGTGGAGTAGTTGGTTCGATTCAAATCTGTAATGGACAAGAACTTCACATTTTTGATTTTAGGCTCAAATCAACACTGATGCAATGTTGGGCAGTTCACTTTTTTTTCCTGAGTCTCATTTTCCTCATGTATAGAGGGAAAACAAGTTTAGACTGGCATTTACTCCAGCTCTAACATTCAGAATTTCTTTTAGTATTAAAAGACCCAAATAACAGAATCTTCACCCTGATCTGTATACTCTTTGAGCTATATTTTCTCATAATTCTTCTTTCTTCCCTTAAGCATCTGCAGAGTTTACATTTATTACTTTTTTGTTGGTGCTGCAATTCTTAGTCACTTGCAATACAGATTTTTCCCTTATTCTTTTTCCTCCCTTAAAAATCATCAATAAATGATTCTTGCCAAATCAGCGAAGTATTCTTGATCCCCCTCTTCCCCAGTGCTGTTGTGACATTAGGTGCTATTGACTATTCTACCCTGAAAATCCCCATGTCCTATGGCTTCTGTGAGCTCCAACACCGTGACTCTCTGACTCTGAGTCCTCTGACTTCTCTTACTTCTCATCCCTCTAAAACTACTCATCCCCAATGTTCTCTTCTCAGCCTTTTGTTTTATCTGGTGGGTCTTCTCTACCTGTCTAACATTCCTTGAAGTATCACTTCTTGGAAGATGATTTTTATATTTAAAATATAAAATTTTATATTTTAAATTTTATATATGCTCTGATTATTATATTTAGCTCATTTTCTTCTAAGCTGTCTTTCTTTATTTCCAAATATTTAATTACAACCTATTGGCATAAGAGAGTGGTCACCATTAAAATCCTCCTCTTAACTCCTCTATTGTCATTACTAGAAGCACCTTTCATCCAGGTACCAGGAGTGATTCGTTGGATATCATCTTTTTCTTCATATCTGCCATCTTTTTCATTGCTAAACAAGTTCTGTATATTCTTCTTCCCCAATTTCACTCAGATCTGTCTTCTTTTTTCCCATTTGTATTGCCCCAACTTAATTCAGATTCTCACTTATTTCTTGTATTGATGGTTAGGATAGAATACTAAAAGATGACCCTTTCTCCATAGCTTTCCTTTAGAATCCATCATTCACACTAAGTTAGTCCTAATTGCATCATTTCCTCAATTAAGTATTTTAGTAGCTGCTCTTTATCTATGTCCTGCACCTGTTCTGCACATACACCCATCCTTTCTTTAACTCTGGCACTCATTTGCTAGAAAGTTCTCCTTTCTTGCACATGCTCAGTTCTCCTTTCTTACACATGCTGAGTCTTCAATTTAAATAGGTCAGCTCACCAATCCCCAAACAAACCTAGACATTCATGCTCTGTCTTTGCCTTTGGTGTTCCTTCTTCATAAATATCCTTTTTCTCCTCCACCTGTTGAAATCATACCTGTTCTTCATGGCATACCTTAACAATAAGTTTTGTATTTTTTAGTAGACATGGGGTTTCACCATGTTGATGAGGCTGATCTCAAACTCCTGGCCTCAATCCACCTGCCTTGGCCTCCCAGAGTCCTAGGATTATAGGTGTGAGCCACAACACCTAGCCATGAGTTCTGTCTTTTATCTATCTCATCAAAACACAAGATTCTAGAAGGCCAAAGACAGCCTTACCTCCTGAATCCAGGAGAATCAAGGTCCACTATGGGTTAACCCCTGGTCTACAAAGAGTCCAAGAACTAGGGTTACACAGTCTGGGAGGCCAGGGATTACGTCAACACAGAGCCAGACTTGTTGGGGGCAAGGAGATGTCAGATATCTATCCTGCCATCAGGAGGGTATTTGGAATTCTATCATCTCTAGCTGTACTGGTATTATCTTCCATTATATTCATTCAAACATTCATTCATTCATTTGTATAGTTAACAGATTAATAGATATTTATTGAGTCCCAATTATGTAATGTCAGGTATGACACAGAATGCTGGAGATACAATGGTGAACAAGACAGAAGAGGTGCCTACCTTCAGGGAATTCCAGTGAGGAAGACGGCAGTGATGAAGATCTTTTCAACTGTTTTATAGGAAGGGAGGAAGAATAGCATACGGTGAGTTAAATATCCAAGTGAATATGTCAAGTAGGCTCCTTATTGCTTTTTCCCTTGTAAATACTACTATGTTGATTCATTTTCTCTCTTTTTTTTTTAATATAAGAAAATTTTTTTTTTAGGTTCTAAACAGGATAATTTATTGCTTTTCAAGATAATTTTCATAATAGATAATAGTACTATTCTGTATAGGAGATAACAGAGGACAAGAACATGGGTGAAAGAACAGCCACTTGTAAATAACAGTAATACAAGATGCTTTCATATGTGGAGAAAAGCTATAATGTAGTAGTGTTGCTAGCAGATTTCTTTGATTTCTTCAATTTCAGATTAAGATTATGAAGGACTTTTTAAAATCATTACTTCTTCTTGCTGCTGTTCCTTTTCGTATTTTTTTTTTAAATTTTTTATTGGATTTTAGGTTTTGGGGTACATGAGCAGAGCATGCAAGACAGTTGCGTAGGTACACACATGGCAGTGTGCTTTGTTTTGCTTCTCCCCTTCACCCACATTTGGCATTTCTCCCCAGGCTATCCCTCCCCACCTCCCCCTCCCACAGGCCCTCCCCTTTTCCCCCCAATAGACCCCAGCGTTTAGTACTCCCCTTTCTGTGTCCATGTGTTCTCATTTTTCATCACCCACCTATGAGTGAGAATATGCGGTGTTTCATTTTCTGTTCTTGTGTCAGTTTGCTGAGGATGATGTTCTCCAGATTCATCCATGTCCCTACAAATGACACAAACTCATCATTTCTGATTGCTGCATAATATTCCATGGTGTATATGTGCCACATTTTTCCAAACCAGTCTATTATCAATGGGCATTTTGGTTGATTCCCGGTCTTTGCTATTGTAAACAGTGCTGCAATGAACATTCGTGTACATGTGTCCTTATAGTAGAACGATTCATAGTCTTTTGGATATATACCCAGTAATGGGATTGCTGGGTCAAATGGAATTTCTATTTCTAAGGCCTTGAGGAATCGCCACACTGTCTTCCACAATGGTTGAACTCATTTACACTCCCACCAACAGTGTAAAAGTGTTCCTTTTTCTCCACATCCTCTCCAGCATCTGTTGTCTCCAGATTTTTTAATGATCGCCATTCTAACTGGCGTGAGATGGTATCTCAGTGTGGCTTTGATTTGCATCTCTCTGATGACCAGTGACGATGAGCATTTTTTCATATGATTGTTGGCCTCATATATGTCTTCTTTCGTAAAGTGTCTGTTCATATCCTTTGCCCACTTTTGAATGGGCTTGTTTGTTTTTTTCCTGTAAATCTGTTTGAGTTCTTTGTAAATTCTGGATATCAGCCCTTTGTCAGATGGGTAAACTGCAAAAATTTTTTCCCATTCTGTTGGTTGCTGATACACTCTAGTGACTGTTTCTTTTGCCGTGCAGAAGCTGTGGAGTTTCATTAGGTCCCATTTGTCTATTTTGGCTTTTGTTGCCAATGGTTTTGGCGTTTTGTTCATGAAGTCCTTGCCTACTCCTATATCCTGGATAGTTTTGCCTAGATTTCCTTGTAGGGTTTTTATGGTGCCAGGTCTTATGTTTAAGTCTTTAATCCATCCGGAGTTAATTTTAGAATAAGGTCTCAGGAAGGGGTCCAGTTTCTGCTTTCTGCACATGGCTAGCCAGTTTTCCTAACACCATTTGTTAAACAGGGAATCCTTTCCCCATTGCTGGTTTTTGTCAGGTTTATCAAAGATTGTATAGTTGTAGATATGTTGTGTTGCCTCCGGTGTCTCTGTTTTGTTCCATTGGTCTATATCTCTGTTTTGGTACCAGTACCATGCTGTTTTGATTACTGTAGCCTTGTAGTATAGTTTGAAATCCGGTAGTGTGATGCCCCCCGCTGTGTTCTTTTTGCTTAGAATTGACTTGGCTGTGCGGGCTCTCTTTTGGTTCCATATGAAGTTCATGGTGGTTTTTTCCAGTTCTGTGAAGAAAGTCAATGGTAGCTTGATGGGGATAGCGTTGATTCTGTAAATTACTTTGGGCAGTATAGCCATTTTCACGATATTAATTCTTCCTAACCATGAACATGGAATGTTTCTCCATCTGTTTGTGTCCTCTCTGATTTCGTTGAGCAGTGGTTTGTAGTTCTCCTTGAAGAGGTCCCTTACGTTCCTTGTGAGTTGTATTCCAAGGTATTTTATTCTTTTTGTAGCAATTGTGAATGGCAGTTCATTCTTGATTTGGCTTTCTTTAAGTCTGTTATTGGTGTAGACGAATGCTTGTGATTTTTGCACATTGATTTTATATCCTGAGACTTTGCTGAAGCTGCTTATCAGTTTCAAGAGTTTTTGGGCTGAGGCAATGGGGTCTTCTAGGTATACTATCATGTCGTCTGCAAATAGAGACAATTTGGCTTCCACCTTTCCTATTTGAATACCCTTTATTTCTTTTTCTTGCCTGATTGCTCTGGCTAGAACTTCCAGTACTATATTGAATAGGTTTTTTTTTTTTTTTTTTTGAGACGGAGTTTCGCGCTTCTTACCCAGCCTGGAGTGCAATGGTGTGATCACCACAACCTCCGCCTCCTGGGTTCAGACAATTCTCCTGCCTCAGCCTCCTGAGTAGCTGGGATTATAGGCATGCGCCACCATGCCCAGCTAATTTTTTGTATTTTTAGTAGAGACGGGGTTTCACCATGTTGACCAGGATGGTCTCGATCTCTTGACCTCATGATCCATCTTCCTCGGCCTCCTAAAGCGCTGGGATTACAGGTGTGAGCCACCACACCTGGCCCCATTTTCTCTTTTCTTTAAAGAAAATATATGCATTCAAATAAGTCAAATAATATCTGCTATTAGAACTAATCTGTCCCTGAATTGAGGGATTTTTCTTTGCAAAACTAATATTTATGGCAACTTTTCCCTCAATTAGAGCAGATAGTGATTAGGGGGAAATGGAGAAAAGAAGACAAAGAAAAGGAATTAAAGCTATATGTTAATCTAATACCAAAGGCAGACTACGAGTAAATGAATTGCACAAATAACCTAGAAAACCTACATATTTAAAATTATTCAGTATTAGAATTATCAGGACCATTTAAAAATATCGTATGTAAAGCCCTAAAAAAACTTTATTCCTGTTCTTATCTAATCTTTTGAAATATGTGTTAAAATCCGTTAAAATTATTTTAGCCCATGTAAGGACTAGAAACTCCATGGAAGTCATTCATGTTGTTCTGAGACACTGTGGGCTTTCTCCCTCCAGGCACACAGTAGCATTGCTCTTCATGACCTGTGAAGCTAGATGTGGCTGTGGAACTTGCTTTAGGAAATGAGAAGCATGTGGAAGTGGCATATAATATTTTGGGAGAGTCTTTAAAAGCTACCGTGGGTTACCCTATTCATCTCCCCTGTTTGTAATGTTTCAGATAATGAAAGCACTGTCAGCTTAAGTCTTCTGAATGAGAACGATGTGTATCCAAGACACTCACCGATCTGAGAGGAATTTGTAGTGTGAGCATGCAATAAATTTCTAAACATGGAAGTTTGGATGATCTGTCTGTTATAGCAACAACATTTAGCCTTTAATTGTTTTGTTTTCTAGTTTTTAGCAGCGAAAACTAGCAGCAAAAACTATACCCATACGCTCTTCAAGAAAATGATGCAATGAATTATAGATCTGAGACACATAGAAGCTATAGCCTTTTAAAGTTTTAATGGCATATCAAAAGCAGGATAGTAAAGTAGTTAAGAGCATGGCTTGGAGGTAGATGGCATGAGTTTGGAGCTTGATTCTGCTATTAACCATGTGACCTTCAGTAATTCTCTTAAACTCTATGGACTCAGTTTTCTTATAAAGAATCATAATACCCACATCATAAGATCATTATAAAAATTAAATGAATTCACATTTGTCAAGCGCCTAGAATAGTGCATAGCAAATCTTTTTCCTATATATAGAGCTAAAGTAGTTAAGTAGTATGTGCAAGTTCTGTTCTAAGATCCTAGCACAGAGTAAGTCCCCAATGAATACTTTTTGTTATGACCAACATTTAAAATAAAAATTATTGAATAGCAATCAAATAGTTGGCTGATAGTTTTCTCCGGGAAAGTCTGTTAAGAGACAGGAAAGTAAAAACAAGCAAAGGAGAAAATATAATTTTTTCTTTGGATTATGGGTAACAAAACCAGCTCCCACACAGGTGGATTTTACCTCTGGGAAGATGCCTGAACACATTGCTGTTACCTTCCCTTTCTAATCAGGTGTGTCCTGAGACAAGAAGCAGACAGTATCAAGAAATGGAAGAAGACAAACTAAAGCTTTTTCTTTAATTACCTCTATCATCCAGAGTAAAAGGAAATAATTCACCTGCGACTGAAGCCAAACACTCCTGCCAACAAGAGATAAGCAGCTCTGGGCAATTTCACACAGCCCAGCAAAAGTTTCTTGAATTCTCGTGACAAATTGGCCTTGGAATTTATCAGGATGATTATTCATGATAATTATCTGAGATACCCATTAAAATATAGATTTCCAGAATATCAGGCGGTGGTGGGAGAGAAGAGCTCCTGGAATTCTGAATTTCAAAGAAATTCTTTAGGAGATTCTTCTACTTGCTTACATTTGAGAACTTCAAATCCAGTCCTATAGTTTATATGGAGTAACTGAAATACCACTGCCACCTGGTGGCAGGATATACAAATTACAGGTTCCAATGTTGTGATTGAATCAGTAAATTTTTCAAGTCACCGCCCTTCAGTAACGTTTAATTCTTAGCCACCCCTGCCCTCTCCTAATCACAAATGTATTTTTAAGTTTTCTGGATTATCTGATGTAGATTTTATATAATTTGCACCCTAAGGACATGGCCTTTTACCACTTTAATTCATTTTTTTGTTAAACTGAATTGAAAATAGAATTTATTTTTCTTTAATTTTAATAAACTCTTATGACATATAATCAATTTGTAGGATAAAAGAAATTATATACACTTACAGAGTGTTCTGTTGGCAGCTGTCAGAGAATCTGAGAGAGATA